CCTAAGGGAAGTTTCCATACTTCGAAACACGTAAACTGTTTTTCGAAGCAAAGATAGTTAATTTAAAACTGTTAATGGTGTTAACCATATGATTGGAATGAGAAGACCTAAGGCACGGATTGTCAATTATACTCCATATGTTGGAGGAATTCAAATTAGGTTTCTAGTATTCCATTGAAAATGTTCAAATCAGGTTTCGAATGACAAAATTGGTAAATTCGAAGCTCTGATTTTGTTTGTTTTGGACGAATAGAATGGTTACAAGTATGCAGTTGGAATATAAAACCAGACCATGCCGAATAAAGAAAGAAAAGTCTAGCTTTATTGATATAAAATATATATATATATATATATATTGGGAAGACTTATTTGGCTACATTCTCAATTTCGTAAAAATAAGGAATGGACAAAGTTACAAGGTCATGAAACTTAGTTCAGCAAAAATCAATAAACATATACTCTTTTATTAATCTATCTTCTATCCTATCCAAATTTGGTTTATCTAATTGATGAGCCCTTAACTGGAAAAAGAGTTATTGGGCTTTCATTTCAAATTCTATGTGCTTAAGAGCCTTCTCTGTCTCATCCATCTTCTCTTCCTCATGTGCTTCGCCTATAATGGCATCTTCTTTATACTCTAAGCCTGGGTTTTTGAAGTTCTCAAATTCTTTGAGGAGATTCTCTGTCTCGTACTGAATTTAGATTTGAGCAGCAGCGGTTTCATTCAATACTTCATTGGTAATTGAAGCATTGATATGCCAATTGAGTAGGAGGGGAAGTTAGTCTGAAAAGCATAGAGCTTTGCATAGGCTACGAGGTTGAGAAGATGGCTACGAGAAATGATGTCACAAGCCCATAACAGGTTCTTATGAGGAATATCATCTCACAGGACTTCGAAGGATAGATTGGAAAAAGTGGCAAGGAGGGTCTGAGCCCTATATTGCTGGTAAGCAGTTGGGGAAACTGGAGCTTGATAAAGAGTGAAGTGTTCACTCTCAAAGATGGTGAGCCTCAATTCCTTAATCTAATTTGAGTTGGGGGGAAACAAAGAAGCAGTGGGAGCCTCTCTGAAAGAAGATGGGAATTCGGGTTTGTTCACACACTCAAGCCAATCAGAGGAGCAAAGTTTTGCTCTTTTGGCTAGGAGTGCAGGACTGATTCCTAAGGCTTCATCAGGGTGTGAAGCCCTTCGCACCATTCAGGATGGCAAAGTAGAAGTGTACTATGTTAAAAGCAAGTTGTGCTCAAGGCTGCGTAGACAGTTGAAATGAATATACGGGTATACTACAGAGCTACGCTTGGAAAGATGGACTGCAAGAGGGTCATCGAATTTAGAAAATTGATGATGGATGCACTCCCTCGTTTGAGGTTGAGTAAGAGTGGGCCAAACTCTCCAGCCAGAAGCTTTAGAAGAAGAAGAGAAAGCAGCAGCCTCATCCCACACAGAAGGTTTTGTGACAGAAGAAGAGCTTCCAATATTCATTATTGCAAAGTCTTGGACTAAAGAATTGTGAACAATAGGATCTTGATCCAAAGGTCGATGAATTGCAAAAGCTTCCATGACTTGAATAAATGGAGATAGGTAGGTGTGGCTAATAAATGCATGAAAATTCTTTCGAAGGCAAACATTATTATCTAACAACTGTTTGTACGCTTGATCTATGTAAGAAAAGGTTTGTTTGGCCATGCGAACTGTATCAACCTTTTCCAATGCTCATATAATGGGAAATGTTCGAGGCATAGAGGAGAATTTAATGCAGTACAAACACTGCAATGAGGGATGTCGGTTGCATTTCTAAGAAAATGCAAAGCTCATGCACGTCTTAGGACGTGGGTAAAGTACTTTGATCCACTAATATCACCAAGTAATGGGTATATTAGTGCGGAGGATAATGTTGGCTGTATAAATTGTAAAAGTCAATCACAATTCAACACGTGGCATGAAAGGTGCAATTTAGGAAGTTAATATAAGTTGCCAATCAAAGTCAGACACGTGTCAGTCCGTGTTGATAATAATGGATTTGTATGGCACTAGAACAATCAAGGGATATAAGGTGATATGGCCTGACGGTTACTCACAAAGTTCAAATTCAAAACCAGGAAGGAAGCCTAACTGCAATGTGGCATAGTGGGACTAACTGTGAGAGAGCATGTTCAGTAATCATGAGAGGACATTTCGACGGTTGGGAGCCCATTTCGACGGTTATCATTAAGAAGTATAAATAGCAGAGAAGGCCCTAGAATGAAAGATCCTGACTCAAAGCAAAAAACCAGTTTTATTTACTTTGTTTCCCTTCTAGTTTTTACAGTTCTTTATATTTTTGTACTTCAAGTTCTTGTACTGCACTTCATTCATAGGAGTAGTTTCAAATGGCTTGTTGCTGTAAACCTTTCCGAGGCTGGGTCAGATCATTGTAAGTTTTTCATTTTACTTAATGAAATTCTGAAATTATTTTTCACTTAATTGTTATTTACTAAATTCTCCTAAATAAGTCACCGGTAAAAGTCATCTTCATTGAGACTAAGAAAACTAAAACACAATTGTCTGATAATTGGTTGACAATTAATCTTTTGTAAGGACTGATTGATCCTTACTGACACACTTAAAATTACAATATTAACCTCGGAAAGCCAAAAAAAAGCCTCCCATATGATTATAGACTAAAATATAACTGTTAACACCGTTAAACTATATGTAGACTGATTATAATACTCTCAAATCTTATATTTTTGTTATTTTCTTTCTTTCTCTCTCATATCTCATATATATAATTTATAATGTCTGATATTAATTCAATTAAATCACAATTAATTATAAATTCGTAATTATTTATTGCCATTTTTAAATTTTTATTCCAATTTTAATTGCATTATATTTTAGATTACAATTAATCTTAAACATTTAACTATTTATTGTAATTACTAACTTTTTTTTATCGAGTTTTAATTTAATTATATTTTACATGGCAATTAATCCTAAATTCTTAATTATTTATTATAATTTCTAACACGTTAATCTAATTTTAATTTAATTACATTTTAGATCAATTCGAAACTATTGTTTATTTTATATTTTATTTAAAATTAATGTTCAATTATATTTTATATTTTAGATCAATTCTTAATTATATTTTAATTTATTTTAAGTAACATATTGATCTAATTTTAGATTTAGAGAAAATGGGATAAAATTATCTTTTAGTTATATTAATTTCATTCTAATTTTTCAAAAAACTAAACTCACTTGAAAGTCACTCTTAAATATGGTGTGTGTAATATACTTTCCATTAGTTTGATAGAAAAATTAATGATAAGACTTTAATCTAAAATCATATGGAAACTTTCTAATTATATTTGACCGATGAGGAGGTAAATTTCTAGCCCCAAACCATAAAGGGATAAAATGAATTTAACCCTTTTTAATATATGTAGAAGATGCAAAATTAGAAAAATTTGTTGTAGTGCTAGCATTTTGACTTGTTTAATGTAACTTATTATAAGTTAAAAACTAATAATAAAAAAAACATATGCTAAAAATATCCCTCCCTCACCTTGTAAATAATTAGGCTTTATTTAAGTTATTTTCGGCTAATAATTACAAGTAAAAATTATACCAAACAATTTAACAGAGATTTCTACACTAAAATGAATTATAATAAGCTCATTTAAATTTAAGGTAAATCAAATAGCCCCATTGTTCAGTCCATTTCAATCATATGACTTACAAAATTAAGGGCAATATTTGCTAAAAAAAAATATACATGAAATTAGTATGTATTAAAGATCAAATTACAAATCATAGGCAGTGTAATTTACCAGAACTCTTTAAAAAATTATGTACCAAATATTAGTTGTTTAAAAATAATATATAAATTTGTATAAAAAATATAATTGATTGATAATTTAAAAAGTTATAAAAAAAAAAATTACCTTAAATATTTTAATAAACTATCAGAGCATTGATCACTCTAATTTGTTTTGAACTTACTTTCAAAACAGCTATAAAAAGTTTTATAGTAAATTAACTAAAGACACAATTTCACAAAACAATTATAAGTTAAAAAATGTGATAATTGGTAAACAATCCACCCCCATGGAGCTTTAACGTTTTTTTTTTTTTTTTGAAGAATTTTATTTTCCAATATACCCCCATCGCGGTGTCAGAAAGTTTACCGTCAATTTTTTTTTTCAAAAAAGTCACCAACATCAAAATAATTCTCCAAAAAAATTGTTAGCAACAAGTGTTGGCCGGTAACAACAGTGATGATATGGGTATACATAGGCTAAGAAAATGAGTGAGAGTACGAATTAGTACCACCACTAATGATTAGTATCATCACTAATGATGTGCCTACTGTCACAGTATTATTGCATCTGTTATTTTTTTTTGGACAAATTATATATACCTCTCTTGAAATTTAACTAAACTAAATTACAGATACCTCCTTGAGATTTCAAAAATTATAAATATTCCCTAAAATTTGTTATGTAAATAATATCTTCAAAAGATATTTATAAGTTCTCAAACCTTAAGAGATATCTAAAATTTTACTAAACCTCAAAAGGGTATATATAATTTGCCTCTTTTTTTTTTATTTTAAAAAGTGAATACCACATTATTAATAATTACTTTAGAACACCACTTTTAATAGTCTCTATCATTACCCATATAACATTACCCATATAGACTATGTAAACAAATAAATTATAGATACACAAACAAATATTAAAATGACACTTAAACAGATAAGTAACGAAAATAAATAGACAGATAGGTATAGGTAAAGGTAAAGGGAAATAATTTTTCAATTTATACTGTCCTTTTGGTCCCAAAAAAATAGAACTTTATCCCATTGGCTCAAAAGTTTAGAAGTGGATCTTTGACTGAGTACCTTCAGAAATTAAAGTTCAAAACTACCTGAATCTGAGAAATACTTCTAAAATATTGTGGGCAAGAGAAAAAAAAAAATTCCCATGAACAACACATAACCCACCAAAAATACTAACAAACCGTTCTTAAGTAAGAGACTACAATTTGTAAAATTTTGATTCCAGATCTGCTAAAATGAAAAATCCATCCATCTTGTCATAAAACATAACCCACCAAACTCAATTCTCGTCTCAAAACTGCCACAAAAAGCAAATTAACTCCTCTTGAAACAAAACAATTAGATAAAGATAGTATACCTAAGAGAAAACTCAAAGACAAAAAAATCTCACTGGGAGACTCCCAACCACTTTGAGAAGTTTTCAAACTCGGTGTAATCGCTGTCGGAGATCATAGTCTGGTACCATGCCTTTCCTGCAGACTTGCTTTTGGTAACCTCTTCCTGTTAATGATGAAAAGGTCAAAATTATTCTTTTAGAAAAAAGGATCCAAATGAGGCCAATTGTCTTCATATCAGTTTCCATGACATATCAGTTTCTATGCACTGAATGATTGACAGAACTGCAATTCTCATGAATAAACTGCAAGAAACGGCCAATTATCCCAACCACCAATATCCCAAAACCAAAAGTTGGGATTTGATAATCACAATTTTGACTGAAGATAAAGAATTTTCTACAGCCATAAACTGCACTGAGCACCATTAACAGAGGATATAACCAACAGGTGTAAACAATTCGGACTAGCCACCAATATCATGTATAATATAACTAATAAGAAACATGACACTAGAAAATTGAAGGGAAATGTAAATAACGTGTAAGCTAAATATTATTCACATTTTGTTTCCCTTTTCTTTTTTCCCCCTCCACAAACCCCCCACCAAATTGAAGATCCAAATACAACTTTGAAGAAAACAATATGCACAATGATAAAGCACATTGCTGACAATTGACTAGAATTAGGATAATCATCCAATAAATCACTGGAAACACCAATGTGTATAAATCCACACCAAGTACTTTCAATAATCACTGACCAAGCCCACGCATTCATTAGTGGACAAGATTATTTAAACTAAATTGAAAACGATAAGTTGATACTAGTAAAACAACCCAACCACCAAATGAAGCCAAAAACAATTTGTAGGCAGTGTTTCAAAGCTAATTGCACAGGCAAGCAGCACCAAGGGAACACTAAAGAGAACAAAACCCCCAAGTAGAATTGTTTCAAACAATTCAAGAAAAATCTGTCAAACAACAGGATTATAGGACAATTGCACACAAGCTGTATAAACATTCAAATTACTATCGTAAATTTTTCTCCAAAAATTAGAGAAACAGACCAACAACAACGACAAATATTATATGTGCAAACATTTAGGCATACACCCATGTACAAAGAAAATGTTCCATGTCAAAAATAAAGTTCATAGAGGAAGTGGAAAATATTTTTCGGGATAGGAAAAACTAAAACATGTTCATAAATTGGTTAATGGGGTTCTACCTGAAGACTGGACCAGTTTTCATAGCATAACAGAACATGAACCAAAACCATGCTAACCAAATTATAAACAGTCAAAAACAAAATACTCAAGTTGAAACATAAGTAGAATTTATTACCTTGTCATGTATAGAAGCTATAGTTCACAGATATTAAACTCTTTTTCTTTTTCTTTTTCTTTTTTTTAAAAAAAAAGCTCAGCACAAGTCAACGAGGCATAATAAATACTAGAATAAATTACAAATGCAACCTTTGAGATTTGCTTAAAGTACGATTTACCACCTTTGGTTATGAAAGGGAAATGTTTGAGGGCCATAAAATCAGTGGCTCAAATGGCTCAAAACTGTCAAAACGAGGTTATGAAAATAACATCCTGCCCCCTAAACGTTTATGATTTATAACAAATTGCCCATTTTAATAATAAATCATCAAATCAATTAACAGTTTTTAATTGATGTCAAAATTTTATTTTAATTTATAATTCAAGTAATTTTATCATTTATGAATTTCATTAATTCAGTTAATTCTGTTAAATAACAATTTCTGCAAAGGAGTATTTGTAATTAAACAGAAAAACTACACATGTTAGGTCTTCTACATATAGTTGGTGAAACAAAAATTTCACTAGCTAAATTTATCCAATTATTATACCGGTTGAGTTCAAGTATTGAGTAAAGTAGCGAAAAATTCAACATAACAAAATAGAAAACACGTCGTTGAAATATAAATGAAAACAAAGTAAAATATACCTTAGAAATTTGCTTCCTCTTCTTATCAAGCTTCTCCTTCTTAGACTTCAAGCGCTGAGCCTCAGCCAAAAGCGCCATTCTCTTCGCAGTCTTAGCATACGGATTCAGCTTCAACATGGTGTTCAAATTCTTCAGAGGATTCTTCTTCATTGGAGCCCTCTTCACCTCCTTCTTGATCGGCCGCACCACTGACTGAACCTCATCCGAGTTAATAATCCTAGTCAAATCCGCATTCACCATCTTCGCTCTAGGCAACACGTACCCCTTCTTCTTCTCCGAAGGCTTCTCGAACGATCCATAGACCGAATCCAACTTCTCGAATGCAGATTTAGTCCAGATAACGAATCGTCCAACGTGACCACCAGGTGCGAGCTTGAGAAGATTGAGACGCTCAACATTGGCGATCTCAACACCAGGAATGTTCCTGAAAGCCTTCACAAGCTTCGATCCTTCGGTTCCATACACAATCAGAGGACCTTTCCGAGAAATGTATCGACGATTTCTCATTTTTCCTTTGCCAGGTCGAATCGCTTGGCTATCCTTCGCCTTCTCAGCATCAGGATAAGCTCCGATCTGCTTCAGAGCTTTGATTGCCGAAGAGGTCTTCTCGATTCCCTCAGTCGAATCGCTAACAACGAGAGGAATCTCTGGCACCGACTCGATTCTGTGGCCGCGAGCCATGACGAGGGAGGGAACGGCGGAGGCGGCGATGGCGGAGGCGACGGCGTAGCGCTTCTGGTTGACGTTGATGCGGCGGTGCCAGCGGCGCCAGATCTTCGTCGGAGCGAACATGCGGCCGCCGCGACACATGTTTCCGAAGGCACCTTGGCCGGCGCGGTGAGTGCCGCCACCGGGAACACGGGGGATACGGGAGACGGCGCGGCCGGTACCCCAGGACTCGGCGGAGGTCTGGTGGCCGGCCTTTTTGGAGACGGCGTAGGGCTGGCGACTGTTCTTGGACATGTTGGTGTGGACGAAGGTGATGATATCGGGGCGGATCGAGGATTTCATGACGTCCGGCAAGGGGAGGGTGTTGGTGGCGCCGTCGGTGGCCATGTCGGAGTCAAGGTTGTGGACGGAGACCAGAGGGCGGGCCGCGGCCATTTCTGGTGGCGGAGGCAGGATGGAGAGAGGAGGAGGGAGGTGATCTAGGGTTTTTGAGTACAGAAAGCGAAATTAAGCATCAGTGAAGAAGAGAGTATATATAGGTGGGAGTGAGGTTTAATTACGAATGTGCCATGATCTAGGGTTTTTTAGGTTTGATTTATAATTAGGTAGAAATATAATAGTAATAACCCTATGTTGGAAAGATAGCGTTTGGATTGAAATAGTTAATAAAAATAAAATAAATTAAAATAATTAATAAGATAAAATTTGATATTTAAATTATAATAATTTTTTTTATATAACTATCAAATTTATTTTTTTAAAAAAGTTAACAAATTTTTTGAACATAATTTTTTTATTCAAATTAAAATAATTAAATAATTAAAAAATTAAAAAATTAATTAAAATAACAATTTTTTAAACAAGTCTTAAAAAAAATTATTTTTACTTATTTAATTGTTTATTTTTTTTGATATATGAAATTTTTATGAGAATAGAGATCCTACTCAAAGCTTATTTATGGAGACCCCACTCAAAATATATGAGCTTTCCCCGTTTTTATACCCAACGGGTTGGGTCAGTGGCATAGTTTTAATCTCCATTGGGAATGGAGCGGGGATAGGTAGCCGCTCATTCTCCATAGGTTTACAGCTAGGTTCTTACCCTCTCATTCAAATTGATTCACCGAATTGCTCAATCTCTCACTTGAAGCTCAACTGATATCAACAATTTGCGATGGCGACGATCTCATTCGGCACTTACGGTGGTTCTCCTTGCATGGTGAGTTTCCTCTCTCGATTGCCTCCCTTTCTCTCTCTTTCTCTCTCTCTCTCTCTCCATCGACAGTGATTGACCACGAAAAGCTCCACTTTCATTCATGGCGGTCTCGAAGAACACGCGGTGTTCTAAGATCCCTGATGATGCAATTTTTTGATTTTGCAAAGAGAGTTTTTTTTTCTTCTAATGAGCAGGTTGTTGGAGCTGAAATTGGGGGTTTATAATGGCTTTGGGATTTGCGAATGGTAGGGTTTTGGGTTTGGTTTGGCTGGTGTGCGTTTGTGTTTCTCGAATATATGGAATGCATGTGAGCTTTTTGACTATGCTGACATGATAGTGTTCCTTTTTTTAACAATTTAAAATAAGGTTGTTAAAATTAATTAATGTGTATTTATTTTTATTGTCAAAATAAAAATAAAATAAAATAAAATGTGTATATGGCTTTAGCTTTAGTTGTGAATCTTGAAAAAAAAGGGACTTAGGTTGTGTTGGGGAAAACCCATACTCATTAGGGGATGATGAGGGTAGTCTCTATGGGAGATGGGGATGGGGAATGGGAAAAAATTATATTAGGAGAATGAAGATGGAGAATTAATATCTACTCTTTTGCCCTCCGTTGCTATTCCTACTTTGTACTAAAAGATGTGTGGAAAAATAAAAATGTGATGTGACAATTTAGGTTTTTTTTGAGAAGTGAGTTAAAAATCACTTTTTAATTTTTAACTCATTTTGGGTTACATCATCTCTCACATTTTGTATATATTTTTTCAAAAAAAGTCAAAAAAAATTAAAAAGCTAATTTTTAATAATCTTTTCAAAACACCCCTTATAATAAATTTTACTTATTTGTATGTCTCCAAACTAGGCTAAATTGACTTTTTGTAATAACTTTTTTATTTTTTTATAAAAAAAAACGTGTAAAAAAAAAAAAAAAAAAAAAACGGTAAAAAAAAAAAAAAAAAAAAAAAAAACCCCTCAAGTTGATAATCTGTAAAAATCTCTCTTTCGAAGCATGCCCTCTAACTGCTGTGATTTTATGATGAACAAATTGATTAAGTATAAAATTTTCATAATATGGAGAATACGTATTAAAATATAAATAAATTAATTAAATTTTAATAAGATAATTTGTAAGAGAATAGCTTATTCCGGTCTAAGTTTGAAGCTGAGACAACAATCCAAGTTTTGGATGTGCGCTACATTAATAGTTTTTTTTGTAAATAGTGTTGCTAAATGTTTCCACATTTTCCCTTAGGACCTCTTACTACCAACATTGTTTCTCTCTTCATTTTTCTTTGGACCCCTATCATAATTTCAAATATACCTTTTGAACCCTACTCCTACCCCTATATACTACAAGAAAATGCACATTTGGCGACCAAAATTGGTGACTAAAAAAAATTCAGTTGCCAAAAGTTATAGAATTGGTGACTAACATTTTTTTTAGTCGCCAAAAGTAAAATATTTATCAACTAAATTTTTTTAGTCGGGGTATATTCATTATTGGCGACTAAAAAAAAATTTAGTCGCTGAAAATTCCAAAATTTGCGACAAAAAAAAAACTTAGTCACTGTATATTGACTTTTGGCTACAAAAATATTTAGTCGCCGAATAGAAAATTAAAAAATTATTTGTTATCTTTAGCGATGAAAGTTTTAGTCGCCAAAAACTTACTTTCAGCGACAAAAAAAATTTAGTCCCGGTATATTGATTTTTGGCTACTAAAATATTTAGTCGCCGAATAAAAAATAAAAAAATTATTTTTTCTCTTTGGCGACTAAAGTTTTAGTAGCCAAAAACGTACTTTCAGCGACAAAAAATTATTTTTGTCGCCTTTAGCTAACTTTTTCCGACTAAAAGTTTAGTCGCCTTTAGCTATTAACATTTTCAAAGAAAGATTTTGAATTTTTGGCGGGCTCCTTAATTAATTAACGACGAACCTATATTTTAGTCGGGGAAGGGATGTAAAATGAATGGCTAAGATCGATCACTTGAAGAACCAATGGATGGAGATCACTACCTCACCAATAAAATATTAGGGTAGGTGAAGAGAAGAAGAGAAGATGAAGGGGGCGAAGTCGTCCCGTTGCGTCGCCATCCCGCTGCCGCTCCTCCTCACGTTCGTCGGCAACCGAAGCACCTCCTCCTCCTCCACCATCGCCATTGTGACTGCTGCGATCACCATTGCCGCCGCTACCACCTGCATTGCTGCCCTCTTTTCACGCCGCCGCCTCCCCCTCCTCTGCCGATCTTCGCAGATCCACCACTGCCGCCGCGAGATCCAGAGGCTTCATCGCTGAGAAGAGACTCCATTGATGCTCCGTCTCGCGTATGCTTTCTCTCTCTCTCTCTCTCTCTCTCTATATATATATATATATACATATGTATATATGTGTGTGTTTCAGTAGCAGATTTTTGTTTAACAAATTATGCAAAACATGACCCTACCTTACCAATCTATTTAACAAATTCAATGGGCAGTGATGACTCCAGTGTGGTCTGAAAGTTTGGGATTGATTAAAAAAAACATAATAGAAGAAAAATTGGAAATGTGTTTTTCAAAGTTCCGATATTTTTCTTTAAAGTTTCTGTTATCTGCATAGAATTTTACCAAGGCATGGATGTTAACATCCATAATGATGGGATTGTGTCAATTAAAATAGTGTGAGTGAGTTGTTTGATAGTTATATTGGAAGATGAACTCGATTACACATATCTACCCTTCAATATAAAAGTAAACCCTAGTAAGTATTGAAATTAAATTTTAACAATAACTCTCATATTATCATTTTTAAAAATCTGACAATAACTCTAAATAAATTGTATTTTTAATTTTTAAACATCTCTTAAAAAGCCATTTACTGAAATTAATCTTTTAATAATCAATTACATTCTAAAACATTTTTATAAGGAAATTTTATCTTTTGGCCCTGTATCATTGTTTGATCATCTGTGTGTAAATGTAATATATATATATATATATATAGAGAGAGAGAGAAAGGGAATGAGGGTAGGAGGGAGGAGATCAATCTTGATTGGGTTAGGGCTGGTTATGGTATTGGGAATTGCTGTGTACTTGAGGCTTTGGTAATTTTATATTGAATTTTGACTTTAACCTCTGTTTCATTTCATTTGTTCTCTTATTGAAGGGTTTTAATGCTTTGGTCTGCCTATTACTACAAATAATGAAGGAAACAGGGTTTGACCTAATATAAACTATGAAATCCTCACATTTCAATTAGGAATCCTTCAATTTCAGCAATTTTGTGTTGTGTTGTGTTCTTGCTAAATCGAGCCAGATAATTTAGACTTTATGACTTCTCAGTGAAAATTGACTTTTGTTGTGTATCTTCTTCAATTAAGCACCACTACATTGCAGCACAAAATGGATTGTAAAGACATGAGCTATAAAATATTTCAAAAACTTTTTGAATTTTTTTTTTCTGTCTCTATTTTTGTGGATTTGAATCCATGTCATATGGATCATAGAAATAAAAGATCAAAATAATGTGGGAAGTTGTTGAGGCACGTCTCTCTCTTTCTCTCTCCCCTATTTGTGTTTGGCTATTAGTTACAAATCACATTCTTTTCTTTGATCTTTTTGTAATTAATTTTCTCATATTACATAAAAAAATATATTTCTTTTGTGTTTCTTAATATACATTCAAGGTTTATTTCATGCATTCTAGTAGTAAGTGATGTTTCTATTTGTTGGCTTCATATAGAAGACAGTTTGATCTTGCTAATAGAGAGGCTATGAAGGAATCTGCAGAGTGGTGATTCAAATATGATGAGGAGGTCAAGAAGGCTACCAAGTGTGCTCAGGACCTAAACAAGGTAATCACATGAAAATAGTAGTTTATATTCATCTCAAGTATATTGATGGAATATTTGAGTATTCCTCTAAAGTTATAATAATACTTAATTGTGTAAATTACGTTGATATTTTTTATATTTCAGTCCTTATGTCATTTTGATATTTATAATTTCAGTCTTTATAATTACATTGATATTTATATTTTCTGAGTTTGTTTGTGTATTTTTGTGATTGATTATCATACGAGTAATTGAATTTGGGGCTACAAAATTATTCAATTGAAGTCGAATGTGATTCCACTCATTTTTCATGGGTTGGAGTCGAATGTGACTCCAATCATTACCACAACCACTTTGTAGTTTCTTTAAACCTCTCTGGTTTTCAAATATTGGGTCGATTATGACCCGAGATAGCTGAATTGACCCAATTGAAGTCCATTGATTTCAGCAACAATGGTTTCACAGGCTCAATCCCTTCTGAATTAGGTAATTGTAGTCACATTGAATACTTGGAACTCTCCCAAAACAGCTTCACTGGTGATATACCAGAGAGCTTTGGGAATTTGCTGAATTTGAGATTCATAAACTTATATTCTAATTTCATGAAAGGTTCAATCCCTGAATCTCTGTTTCGCATCCCACATTTGGATACTGTTTGGCTCGATGTGAATGAACTTAATGGTTCGATCCCATTGAATGTTGCCAACATGAGTGAGATTTCATCTCTTTGGCTATATGGTAATCAATTGTCAAGCACCATTCCTTCCTCCATAGGAAATTGTACCAAATTAGTAGAACTTTACTTGAATGATAATCAATTTGTTGGGAATTTACCGGAGAGTTTGAATAATCTTGAGGGGCTAATGTATCTTGATGTTAGTAATAATAGTCTAGAGGGTACTATTCAATTGGGTTTGGGTAGTTTCAAGCAAATGGATACTTTGGTCTTGTCTTTCAACTGTTTTAGTAGTGGTATTCCACCAGGGTTGGGAAATTGTAGTAGCTTAACTCAACTTGCCGCTGTTCGTTGTCGTTTAACCGGTCCTATCCCACCTTCTCTCGGACAATTAACCCAGCTGACACTTCTTTACCTCTGTGAAAACCGTTTATCGGGTAGAATACCACCTGAGCTTGGCAATTTGAAATCCCTGAATGATCTTCAGCTGTATGACAACCAACTTGAGGGGGAAATCTCGAGCGAATTAGGGTTGCTGAGTGAGTTGCAGAACCTTTTCTTGTTTACTAACCGTTTGGATGGTGAGATTCCAATAAGTATTTGGAAGATTTAGAGCCTTGAGTTCCATTTGCCGATTAGCTAGATTGGTCTCCCTCTCTCTTTATCTTCCTTCCTCTATTTTCCCATTTCTCACACTTGCCCTAGGGTTTTATATGATTTTTGTTGTTTAATTTTGTGTTGAGTTAATGTTGTGTTGATTTCCCACACTTGGTGGTTTTTGATCTCTGCTTAGGATGTTTTACATTCCAATTGAATCTGAATGCTACAATTGACAACGTTGCTTTCAAGGTTATGTGATTATGGTGCTGTAAAAGTATGAGCAATAGGTGTTCGATGATATGCTTTAAACACTAGATTTAAACCAAAGCTCATTTGAACTGAAAATTTTCAAATTTCAGTCAAAACACCGAAAAATGAGAAGACAAACCAAAATTTTTCATGTAATTTTTTTTTTTAATAAACATTTTATGTTAAACCAAACATAGAATGTTTGGTTGAGTCTTCAAAAATTATGTTTTGAATTTTTTTAAAGTAAAAAACTAGTTGGACAAAAATAAACATGAATTTTTATTTTTTTTCACCAACTAGCTTTTTAGATTCTAAAAAGTCAATCAAACAAACCAACACGGAACACATATTTTAAAGCCAATAAGTAGACTTTACTACTATTTCATTAACGATTTAGATTGTCATATGAAATTGAATCATATTGTCAGTCTGCCCTTGTTTTCTTGATCTTGAGATTGTTGGCCTGTAAGTTCTATTTAGTTGCTTTTCACTTTACTTACATTAGTAGTTGGTTTAATCATGTTTTTCTACGGTTTCTAAACCCAGCATTATAATCTATGTCATTGATCTGCCCCAATATGAATAATTGTTTTCGTCTGCACATACCTGTGATGTGGATCAGTTGGTGTGATTATTTTTTAAAATTTATTACTCTGTTTCCTTCAGAAACATCTAAATATCATGAATGGGTGATACATGAAAAGAGATTCATGTTGAACTTTAATATCTTTGGTTGCATTACAGCTTGTATACATTAGTTGCTTTCTTCAATGTGAACTCTGATGCATTACAGCTTGTAAATATTGCTTGTTGCATTATAAATTTTGAGTTTGTATTTATAATTTTAAGCATTAAAGATAAATTTTGAAGTGTTTACTATAGACAAGTGAAATTAACAATTTTTTTGTAAGTATATGCATTATGTTTATTAAATGTTTACTGTATTTGTTAGGGCACTATGTTCCCCAGCTTGCAGAACAAATTTTGCACAATAATAAGAATGCTCCAAAGGATGACTATATAAACCTCAAAGGTTTTATTGTGAGTGATGTCCCAACTTGTACTTACTATTTTCATTTTGGCTAATTAGCTTTTCATTTTCTTTTGGATAAAACTTGATTGCTAAGAGCTTCTCTGCTCTAGGATCTTTAATCTGTCATTAATAGAATTAAAAGGTTGACTGCTTTCATTTTCATTGACTATTAAAATGTTGTTAGTGTGTTCCTAGTTAAAATTGTTGTTTAACTGTGGAAAGCATAAGCATAGTAGCTCATTGTGGCAGAAGAGAGTGAGGAGGAGAGAGAAAGAAAGAAAGGAGAGGGGCAGAGGCACATTATAGTTATATTATTTAAGTACACATTCACTTTCTAAATTAATAAACACTTAAAACACAAAAATAGTTATATTATTTAAGTATACATTCGCTTTCTAAATTAATAAACACTTAAAACACAAAAATAGTTATATTATTTAAGTATACATTCGCTTTCTAAATTAATAAACACTTAAAACACAAAAATAGTTATATTATTTAAGTATACATTCGCTTTCTAAATTAATAAACACTTAAAACACAAAAATAGTTATATTATTTAAGTATACATTCGCTTTCTAAATTAATAAACACTTAAAACACAAAAATAGTTATATTATTTAAGTATACATTCGCTTTCTAAATTAATAAACACTTAAAACACAAAAATAGTTATATTATTTAAGTATACATTCGCTTTCTAAATTAATAAACACTTAAAACACAAAAATAGTTATATTATTTAAGTATACATTCGCTTTCTAAATTAATAAACACTTAAAACACAAAAATAGTTATATTATTTAAGTATACATTCGCTTTCTAAATTAATAAACACTTAAAACACAAAAATAGTTATATTATTTAAGTATACATTCGCTTTCTAAATTAATAAACACTTAAAACACAAAAATAGTTATATTATTTAAGTATACATTCGCTTTCTAAATTAATAAACACTTAAAACACAAAAATAGTTATATTATTTAAGTATACATTCGCTTTCTAAATTAATAAACACTTAAAACACAAAAATAGTTATATTATTTAAGTATACATTCGCTTTCTAAATTAATAAACACTTAAAACACAAAAATAGTTATATTATTTAAGTATACATTCGCTTTCTAAATTAATAAACACTTAAAACACAAAAATAGTTATATTATTTAAGTATACATTCGCTTTCTAAATTAATAAACACTTAAAACACAAAAATAGTTATATTATTTAAGTATACATTCGCTTTCTAAATTAATAAACACTTAAAACACAAAATTAAGTCTCAATTTTTTTTTTATTTGTTTTTTTAGTTAACAAACCAGTAATTGTTAGGAACACATAATAGATCACATAATAATCCATAGAAAATACAATGAAAGGATGGGATCAAACTCAGTTCAGAATAAATATCAACTTAGTCCCATTGCACTTTAAGTGATAAATTTTGTTATAATTGTGTATTCTTAGCATTAATATTAACAAATAAAACACAAATGTAGCAACACGATTATGGATATTTAGCATGCTCTGCATGCACATGAACTACAATGCAGATAGGGAATGCATTATTGGATCCTTGCATGGCTTATTTAGAATCCTTGCATGGGACACCAATCACAACATGTAATTCATAATGTAGGATACTTCGGTTATTTCTTAACTAACTAGATTTGAACTATATTTAAGATAAAAGAAAAGCGAGTGTAGTTTTTTTTTTAGTGCCTCTTTCTTTGCTTCCATATTTTTATTAGTTCACATCTTCACCGATCATCATTTAAAAATAGGGCTGGGGTTTTAAGTTCTAGAAAATTTATAATTTCAGTCTTTATAATTACAATGATATTTATATTTTCTGAGTTTGTTTGTGTATTTTTGTGATTGATTATCATACGAGTAATTGAATTTGGGGCTACTTGGAACTCTCATTGAATTTGGGGCTACTTGTATTTTTGTGTATAGTCTCATTGAATACTTGGAACTCTCCCAAAACAGCTTCACTGGTGATATACCAGAGAGCTTTGGGAATTAGCTGAATTTGAGATTGGGTTTGGGTAGTTTCAAGCAAATGGACACTTTGGTCTTGTCTTTCAACTATTTTAGCAGTGGTATTCCACCAGGGTTGGGAAATTGTAGTAGCTTAACTCAAGTTATCCTTTTCAACACATCATTCACAAGAACATCTATAATTCTGTATGTGTAGCTCCATTTCATATCACTTTATTTATTTATTTTTGGTGGGTAATATTCATCTCAATTAGTGATGAACATGTATTTAAATGGTTCCCAATAAATAAAAGTTACAATGGTTCCCAATAGCTCCATTTCAAGTGGGAGAAATATCAAATGTGGGGTGACTGGTGGGTATTCATTTTCATTGTTTTTCTCTGTATGAAGATATGATATTAATTATGTTGCCTTCTTGGCCGAAAAAGGGTGTTTCGGAGGTAAAAATTCAAAGCAGCCCCCGAACCATTGTGTGACTCACACGGACAGTTTTTCCATGATAAATAGGACTTGTGAGAACTGATGGCATGTAATTCGGACCCGTAAGTAGGGAGTTAGAGCCGAATACGCCCTAAACTTAGTTGAAAAAGGGCGTTTCGGGGGCGAAAAATCAAAACAGCCCCTGAACGAGTTTATTTCCGCATGTTATCTCTGAAATTGAATTAAGTTAAAGAATTTGGTAATGACTCCGAGTAATAAAAGGTGGGGCCCCTGAACGACCGTGTGGCTTGCACAGATAGCTTCTCCATGACAAATAGGACTTGTGAGAACTGACAGAATGTAATTCGGACCCGTAGGTAGAGAGTTAGAGCTGAATACGTCCAAACCTTAGTTGAAAAATGGCGTTTCGGGGGCGAAAATTATAAACAGCTCCCGAACGACCGTGTGGCTCAAATGGATAGCTTCGCCATGACAATGGACAGGTCCCCCATGACAAATAGGACTTGTGAGAATTGACGGAACGTAATTCAGACCCGTAGGTTGGGATTTAGAGCCGAATACGTCCAAAATTTAGTCAAAAAAGGGCATTTCGGGGGGCAAAAATTCAAAACAGTCCCCGAACGACTGTGTGGTTCACACGGATAGCCTTACCATGCCAAATAGGACTTATGACAACTGACGGAATGCTATTCGGACCCGTAGATTGGGATTTAGAGACGAATGCGCCCAAAACTTAGTCGAAAAAGGGCGTTTCGGGGGCGAAACTTCAAAACAGCCCCTGAACCTCCTTCTGACTCTCACGAGCAGCTTCCCCATTACAAATAGGACTTGTGACAACTGACGAAATGCATTGTAGATGTATAGTAATGGAAAATTATGGGAAAAATATTCAGAAACCAATATGAACTCAGTTTACGCCTTGTTATAAACTTGCTAATTTTTTGAACGTACACACGTGTGTTATATTATATTTAAGCTTTCATACAAGTATAAAACATGCTCATGGTGTTTCTAAGGCTATGTGCGTCATGAGATATCAAGTATTCTTTCTTTGATGAACCATTTATAGGTGTCTCAACATACATTTCTACATATTTCCTTTTATGATTGAAATTTATTTTTGTTATTATTTTTATCACATGTTCTAATATCCTTTCTGAAATGGCACTGACATACATTAATAAGCAGCGATGGTTTTATATCGAATCTAATGATTCAAGTGCCTTTTGCAAACAAATAATGAGGAAGTTGGTAAAAAGAATACTTTCTATTCACATTGGGCTTTGATATTGGTTTAGCCATAGAATTTGGATATATGTTGCATACAAATACAAGATTGTTACATTAGCTTTATGTTACTAATGAAAGATTTAGTAATGATTGTTCTGCATTTAACAATGTCCCTTATAACAAAAGACTTTAGAAAGACTGTAGAATGACTGATAATTAATTCATCATGGAAGGTTGTTTCTCACTTATTTTTATTTGTCACTTGTTGCCAAATTCATTCATGAAGTTGGGCATTTTTTGATCCAATTCTAATGTTTTTTTTTTATTTTTTGTAGATGACTTTGATGCGTGGACTTCCAGAGATATTTTGGTGTATAGAGAAGAAATTGTACTTTTGTATAGAAGTAATATAATACTTTTGTAAATGTCGTTTCACATGGTATAGTAAATGTAATTTTTGTATATGGAGGGAGGGCTTTACTTTTTGTATGATTCTATATTTTGTATGGAATTATTATTTTAGCATGCACAATAATTGGTTTGTATGTACTTGGATAGTTAAAGTAATTTATTTTTTGTATACGGATGCAGATTGTGGAATGATTGATAGTTTATGTATTATTTTATTTATATACGTATTACTGGTTGCATGGAATATAGACAGGTTATGGACACATTAGAATATTTGCAATAAAACATAATATTGGGTTTTTGCCGACTAAATGTTTTGTAGCCAAAAAAAGGGAGAAAAAAAAAAAAAACCTTTCGCTACTAAAAGTTTTGTAGCCAAAAGAAAATCAAACATTTGGCTAGTAAATTTTTTGTAGCCAAAAGAAAAACAATCATATGGCTACTAAATATTTTGTAGCCAAAAGAAAATCAAACGTTTGGCGACTAAAATCTTTCGTAGCTAAAAACAAAAGCTGAAAAATAAAAAATACTTTTGCCGACTAAAAATTTAGTAGCTAAAAATGTGGGAGTTTAGACGACTAAATTTTTAGTAGCCAAAAATGTGGAAGTTTAGGTGACTAAATTTTTAGTAGCCAAAATAAATACTATTTGCCGACTAAAATTTTAGTAGCCAAAACACTAATATTTGCTTTAGGCAACTAAAAAATTTAGTAGCTAAAAATTTTTTCGCGACTAAATTATTAGCTTTTGGCGACAAAAAAATTGGTCGGCAAAAATGTATTATTTAATTAATTTTCCAACCTATTGGCGACTAAATATTTAGTCGGCAAATGAATACATTTGGCGACTAAATGAAGTTTACTCGCCAATTAGCTTTGCCGACTACTCTTTGGCTACTAATTTTCTGACCAAAAAATTTGGTCGCTAAAGACTATAGGCGACTAAAAATTGACTTTTGGCGACTAAAAATTTAGTCTCCAAAAGTGAAAATTCTTGTAGTGATACCTTCTACTTGCAACTCTCCCTTTCTTCCTCTAGCAATCCACTTCCCTCTCCTGCAACCCCTTACTCCTTCCAATCTCTACTCTCGTACTTTTGTGACCTCCCTCACATTTCAGCTAGCACCTCAACTCATTCTTTTGCCTTCGTGACCACTTTTGTCGCTGTTCGGAAAACTAGTTCCAAACAAAAGCTTGATATTCGATAGTATTTAGCCGAACAAAAGGCATATGTTCAGTTGTGTAGAACCGAGCATATTCAACAGGTTCAGCTCTATGTAACCGAACGAAAAGAAAAAATGATAGAATCACACGTAGTGGCGACCAAAATGTAAGGTAAACAGAGAAGTCGACGAGGAGAGAAAGGGAAGTGTAAACACCCCATTTTGACTAGCCCTAAGACTTGGGCGCTTTTTTTTATTTATTATTACCTGATGATGAAAATAAGAATGTGTTTCTCGCAGAATTCTCAGTAAAAAATATGAAATTTGTGCTTCATTTCCAACCCTAAGCCTGTTTTGGCTAACTATTTAAGTCTCGTTCAAAGCTTTCTTTCGAAACCTTCTTTCCGCGCTTTGTTCCAAATATTTTCATAGTGTTCCGAGGCTCACTTTTAAATTTCAAAATGAAACATTTTTCAAGAAATTCAGCAAAAAAACAATGTGAAAATAGGAGGAAAGGACGAGAATTTTGTTTAAAAATCTTGTTTCGAGCAAAATAGTCAGCCACGACCAACTTTTTTTATCGGCCAGCCAACTTAATTGGCCTGCCGTGCCAAGGTTTTTGGCCGGCCAGCTAATGAATTTGCCGGTTGGCTAATTTGCCTAGAAGTAGGGCAGTTTCGCCAGAATTCTTATTGAATGCGTGTGGGTCATGCCTATTCCAGTTATTTCTTGACAGATTCATGCACGAGATACACACCCACTCCCTTCATTATCTTCCATTAGCCCCTATTGTCAAAAGAGAGATTGTCATCTTCCTAAAAGGTGGCATCCATTTTTAACCACCCTTGTCATCCCATCATCCATGTCTCCTACCTTGTCTCCACCTCCTTGACTTATGAGCCTTTCCCTGATTGCTTATAGAGATAGAGAGGATCAGAGTTGAATGAAAGGAATTGAATTGAAAGAGTGAATTGAGAGTTAGAGAGAAAAAGAGAGAAGTTATCAATATTGAGCCAAAACTTCCATACACACTGATATTCCATCTTTCAATATATCAAACCAAGACCATAAATTCTGTTATAGCCATATTTTTGAGCCATGACCAAAAGAGAGTGAGTGTTTCTTGAAAGAGAGAAAAATAGATAGTTGTAACTCTCCTCCCATATATGCACATTGTTAAACAACCAAAAAGCACCATTCGAACTAGAATTTTGAAATTTCGAACTGAGAATTGGGAACACACTTCCTAAGCTTGAGGGGATCACAAGGAAGTTTGGAAATCAAATCCTTCCTTAGAGGGTAAACTTTGTACACTTTTCATTTTCGTTTACTTTTCTTGCATTTTCTTTCTTATATTATTTTTCTTGCTTCAATTCCATGTTTTTAACTTGTTGTAAGATAACTAAAAGTGGTTAGCTGAGCCACTTGCATATTTTCTGTTTGTTTTTGCGTTGTTTGAACAAAATAGATTTTTCGACCTGGCCTAATTGGTTGGCTGGCTCATCTTTTGGCTGGCCAGCCAGTTTCTCTTAAACAAAACCCAGCAACCTCCTAACAATGAGCAGAACAGCCTCCGACGGAATCCGAGACCTCCTTGAAGCTTCTGCTTCTGCTTTTGTTTTAATTAGAGAGACTGTGAGGATTTAATTTTTGTTATAATATTTTTTCTCTCCCCCTATTCGGATTTGTAATATTCAGAGCGATGTAATAATTTCTTGCCCCGTTTCTTTCTATTTCATTCTTTATTTGCTTTCCATACCTGTGCATATGCAGTATGTTTTAATATTCATCATATCCATGTTTTGCATCTATGCTTCATGCCTTAAGATCTGGTTAAATTTACATTTGTGGGTTTAATTGATTATTATGTGATTTTGTGCGCTACCTCATGTGTTGTGATGATTCACATGTCATATAGTTTAGAAATCGGATCTTTAGTTGCATTTCATGAGTGAATTGTATCAGGATCTTGTATATAGGATCATGTATATTTACTAATTTTGTTTTTGTGCCTATTTGCGGAATGTCAGTAAATATCTAAGTTTTTGTACTTTAGCATCCTGCCTGTGTGTGATTTTCTTATTATGTTTAGCATCCTACCATGTGGCTATGTGCTTATTTGATATAACTCTATACATGTCAATGGGTGAAGGTTGTGTTATTTAATTTGGAATAAAATTGATTTTCACGATTGCACTATTCAAAACATTTTTAAAAATACATGAAATCGAATTTCTCCAAATTGAATGGCACAGTCTATATTTGCTTTGCTTTACATTGTAAATTTTAGGATTTTATAAATAACTGGAATATAAACATATAAAGGAAATAAAAATCATATCATGGCTTAGTAAAGGCCGATCTTTTGATCAGGTGAACGAAGGGTTCAATTAATGACCTTCCCTTCTCATACCTAAGGTTTCGAGCCAAGCATCCTTGGTTATGACGAACCGTGGCCTTGGCATGAGTCACGGGTTTTCTAATTTTTCCAAAATATCGGGTGGCGACTCTAAGATCTGGTGATATAGTCTATTTTTTGGTAAAGAATTTGTAATAAAATGAATTTTCTATAAAAGTTGTAAAATCTGGACTTTTATCTACGTTTCATATTGCACTCGTGAGACTAGATTGAAGAAATCGAGGGTTCGTACTGTTAACGCGCGCGGGCACCCCTCGGACAGCGTTACAAGAAGTAGGTTCAACTAAGGATCTGCTCATACCTAGCTGCTCTTGCGGCTAATTCAAAGAGATCTCTAAATTCCATGTCTTCGAATTTCTTCGAAGTCAAAACCGTTTTGAGCCAGCCTGACATACTCCGTTTTTTAAAGAACATTGTGACACTTGAATCTAGCTCTCTTGAACCTTGTAATGTTGGCTTCTACTGTCTAGCTAGGAACTTGGATGATTCTTGACAAGTCGAACATGATAACCTCTGGTTCGATTTTATAGAACTGTTGGTGGAATATCTCTTCTATTTGTTGCCAAGAATAGACTGAGTCTAGTTGCAGATTAATATGCTAAGTGAAGGCCGTTCCAGTTAAGGAATTGGTGAAAAACTTCAACTTCAAGAAGTCATTCTTTCCTATCTCGTCACATTGTATAGTAAACCTAGCAACATGCTTAACAGTAGAATGATAATCTTCACTAGAAAATAAAATAAAATCAAGAACTTTATACCCTCTAGGAAAAATCATAATTTCTGTTTATTTCTTTTGGATAAGGCTTTTGCTAGATGGGCCTACCAGCACGTCTAAGTGCAAGACTGCATTGTTCCTTGATAAGATCCACAACCTGATCCTTGTTCATTGCTGGATTTGGTTGATGTGCCCCCTTGTAAGCTCCACGAGGTGGTTAGTTGTAGAAATTCTAACCCCTTCCTTTAGGAATTGGCGCAAAGTTCTTCTCTTTTTGTTCTAGAATCAGAGCAAAGTTCTGTCCTTTTGGATCTGGACCAAAATTATGCACTCCTTGTTCAAGAATGGAAGTGAAGTTCTGCCCTATCAGTTCATGTCATAAAATTATTCATTCTCTGTACAAGAATCGAAGCAAAGTTCTGGCATCTTAATTGCAGAATCGGAGCATAGGGATGCCCTCTCTGTTAAAAAATCGGAGCAAAGTTCTGCCCTTGCAATTCTAGAATCGAAGTGTAATTTAATTCTCTTTGTTCTGGAATAGTGAATAGAGGGTTAACTTTTGACCAACCTCGTTGGAACTGAAGTTGACTGCTCTGCATAGGCCTATGACCAACGTCTTGGACGTTTTGCAGATTCTGAAGGTTCCAGTTGTAAAAGCTCTGGTTTTGAGGATCCTAAAGTTGTAGATTCTACCAGTTTTGAGGGTTTTGAGGAATTTGGTTGTCCCTGACTTCGAACGAAGTCTCAATGAAGATGACTTTTAACAAATTTATAAGTGCCAAAGATGATTAGACTATAATTGTGACTTGCATTGATTGAAAATGAAGTACAATTGATAATCTAAGATAGCTATGAAACTAAAGGAACCAA